CGAACCCGTGGGCTCAGGTAATCCACTCACCTCAGCCTCCCAAGGAGGGTTTTTTTTTTAAAGCAAGGTGCGGACTGGGCATAGTGGCTTATACCTGAAATCCCAGCACTTTGGAAGGCTGAGGCAAGAGGATTGCCTGAGCTCAGAGGTTTGAGACCAGCCTGGGCCACTTGGTGAGATCCCGTCTCTACAGGAAATCAAAAAATTAGCTGGGTGTGGTGGCATGCACTTATGGCTCAGGCTACTTAGGAGGCTGAGGCGGAAGGATTGCCTGAGTCCAGCAGGTTGAGGCTACGGTGGCTGTGAGCATGCCATTGCACTCTAGCCTGGGCAGCAGATAGAGAATCCAACTAAAAAAAAAAGCAAGGTGCAATATGCATACTATGCTGCTGTTTTGTGTAAGAAAAACAAGGAAAGGAGATGTGTGTGTTTGTGTCTGTGTGTATCTGCTCGTGTGTTATGAAATGTGCAGCGGACACACAGACATTGGTGCGTTGGTAGCCGGTGAGGATGGAACCAATGTTAGGGACGGGAGTGGGAAGGAAAGTTTTCACCTTTGAACTTTAAAAATGTTACTCCATTTAAGCATTGCCTAATTAAAATAAATAAATAAAAGTATTTAACAAAACAAAAAACAAGGAAAGCCCAAGTTTAAAACACACTGAAAAAAGGTCAGAGTGACATTTTCCACTTGAGGACTCCAGGTCGTGCGGAGACTGAATTCCCTCAGCGTGCCACGCCAGCAACCGAGGGGTCCGGGCCCATCTGGCTTGAGATGTCACAGCTAAAGTGACAACTGCGAGTACCTTAGACTTTAGACTAGCCCACACGCCAGGCCATGTTGTTTTAAGCTACCAAAACAGAACACTTTGAAGGAGAAGACTAGCCTTCCGTTATCTTTTTTTTTTTTAATCACAGTCTTACCCAGGCTGGAGTGCAGTGGCACAGTTATGGCCACCGCAGCCTCAACCTCCTGGGCTCAGGCAATCCTCCTGCCTCAGCCTCGCAAGTAGCTAGGACTACAGGCATGCGCCATCACACCTGGCTAATTTTTTGATTTCCTATAGAGGTGGGGTCTCGCCAACTTGCTCAGACTGGTGTCAAATCCCTGGGCTCAGGCAATCTCTCGCCTTGGCCTCCCAAAGAGCTCGGATGACAGGCATGAGCCACCATGCCTGACTCTCCTTCTCATTCAATTGGTTGAGATGATGCCCCGGCTCACAGGGAAGGAAGGAGACAGGCTGGGGTGAGGCTGCCCAGGAGACACTGGAGGTTGCCAGGAGGCTGCAGGATAGCTGTAGTAAAACAGCAAGCCATGAAAAAGAAACCCCCATCCCCAGCCCCAGGCTTTCTCCCCTTGTCCTTGCACACAGCGCACTTCAAATCCCAGCGAGAGAAAAGGAATGGTGTGCAAGTTTTCAGTTCCTCCTCTGGTCCCAGGTAGCATTTCACCAACCGATGCTCACGGAGAGCCCCCTGTGCCTAACATCACCCAGTACACAGAGATGACTCTAAGACAAGGACTGAAGAACACCAACGCACTTTCTCTTGCACCCTGTCCCCAACCCGAAAGGAACATGGTGGGGTGCATTTTGAAGTGCCCCCACCTTGGGAGAGGTGGGGCTGACAGTCTGTTGCCAAGTGTCTCTTAACTGCCCATAGCAAGGCACTTCTCCCCTCCCTGCCAATGTGTATGTGTGTGTGTGTGTGTGTGTGTGTGTGTGTGTGTGTGTTGGGGTCTTGCTCTGTTGCCCAGGTGGAGTGCAGTGAACCCTAACCCTCAACACCCCCTGGGCTCAGGTGATTCTTCTGCCTCAGCCTGCCAGGTAGCTGGGACTACAGGTGTGTGCCACCATAGCCAGCTAATTTTAAATTTTTTTGTAGAGACAAGATCTCTACAAGATCTCTGTTGTCCAGGCTGATCTCGAACTCCTGGGCTCAAGTGATCCTTGTTTTGGCCTTCCAAAGTGTTGGGGTGACAGGCATGAGCCACCGTGCTCAGTCTATGAACGCTGTGATATTCCCTCTCACCCACTTGGTTTCAAACATACATGCCTGCTGCACAACAACACTTGCTCTGTTTTCTAGAAAACTCCTTCAGCCTCCCATTTCTGGCTTGCCCTCCCACCTTCCCTCCATCTTTTCCTTCCCCATCTGTCTCCTTTTCAGGCCGTGTGTGTTCCTTGTTCCTTGGCTCTGCAGAAAAGAGAACTCAACACCTAAAATGATCAGATCTAGTAGAAATGAACAAGAACCTATCAGAAACCCGTCATGTGACTGTTTATTATTTTTAAATGTTTTCCTTTCTCTCTCACAGATTTTCCATAGCTATGAAATCGTAAATGCCGAGCCACGTGCTCTTCAGCTGGTCAGGAAATGAGTGTGTTCTGGAGGGCTGGCCAAGGGTCATGTCACCTCCTGCAAGCATTTGTGGGTCCTTGACTGAGCAGCAGGCTGGCAGAGGCAGGAAGACTCTAGCAGGATGACTCAGTTCTGCCCACTGTTTCTTGTGAGATTCATTTTCTTTCTTTCTTTTTTTTTTTTTTTTTGAGTCGGGGTCTTACTCTGTTTCCCAGGCTGGAGTGCAGTGGCATGATCACAGCCACTGCAGCCTCGGCCTCCTGGGTTTAGGTAATCCTTCTGCTTCAGCTTCCCAAGTAACTGGGACTACAGGTGTGCACTACCATGCCTTGCTAATTTTTTTACTTTTTGTAGAGACAAGGTCTTGCTCTGTTGCCCTGGCTGGTCTTGAACTCTGAGCTCAAGTGATCCTTCTGCCTCAACCTCCCAAAGTGCTGGGATGACAGCAACCCGGCTGGGGTTCATTTTCATTGATCGCCCGTGGGGTACAACTGTTTACGTTCTCCATGGGTTTCCAAACGTGAATACCTAAGAAGCGCTTCCCGCCTCCCCCTCAAAATTGCAAATTCTACTCTTCTACCTGAGGTGTCTTCGGGGGCTTGGAAGAGAGAGAGCGAGAGAGAGAGACAGAGAGACACACAGAGAGAGAAGTGTGGTCATTGCACATAACTGGGAATCTGAGGTCCATCCTGTGGTGGGAATTCCACAGTATAACTGTCCAAAGAGAAACACTTGGCCTCTCAGTTAATGGTGAACAACCCTGGCGTGGCAAGGAGCAGCTTCTTAGTACAACGATGGGATTAGTAACCTTGCAGAAATAAAAAGGACCCGTGTGTTTCAAACATGTCACTGTCAAATACTCCAACAGCAAATCATTACTTAACCCCGCTGTGGTCCAGCTCCATGCTGGGTAAACCCTTCTGAGATATAAACTCAACTAAAACCTTTTTTAAAAAACCTTTAAAAATAACTACAAGTGTCACAAAATTCAAGAGACACAAAAGGGTATGGGGTGAAAAGGGGTCAAAATCATTTCTGAAGACACGTAAAGTATCATCTCGCCTCCAGGTTGCCTGTGATGCCGCTCAAGAGAGAAAACGTACACTCAGGACACTGAGGTCCCAGCCCAGGGCCTTTGCACATTCCCTCCGCACAGCACCCTCCTCCCCTACGCATCCGAATGGCCTGTTTCTTTCCTCCTTCAGGTCTTGCCCCAGCTGCCACCTCAGTGAGGGCTCCCTGTCCCGCTCTCTAAAATGTTCACTCTCTCGAGACCAACCCGGGCAACTTGGCGAGACTTCGTCTCTACAATAAATTTAAAAAATGAGTCGGGCATAGTAGTACATGCCTCTAGTTCTGGCTATTTGGAAGGCTGAGGCAGAAGGATCGCCGGAGCTTAGCAGGTTGAGGCTGGGGAGGCCGTGAGCGTGCCACTGCACTCCAGTCTGGGCGACAGACTGAGACTCCAACTCAAAAAAAAAAAAAAAAAATCAATCAATCAATCAATCAATAAAACGTCCACTCTCCCCTCATGTCCACCCCATCCCGGCGCTGCCTTCCTCTCTAGCAGAAACAGCATCTTATATGGAGTTCCCCCCCCCAGAACCTGGAATTTATTTATAAAAAATTGTGCATTTATTCCCCCAGGCTTAAACTCAGTCACCTTCAAAGCTCTCCATTGGATGCAATACATGTATCGAGATGATTTTCCCACTGCTCAAAATGGTTTTTGGCCATTCTGATGCCTTCTGGTGTTTCGACCGGTTTTGTTTCACCTCTTCCACGTGGGCAAAATGTTTCCCTTTGAGGAATTTTTTTCATCCAGGGAAACAAACAAACAAACAAATGTCGCTCAGGGTGAGATTGGGTAAATGGGGTGGGTGGGGCATGGGCATTATGTCATTTTTGGCCCCAAACTGCTGACACTCAGGGCGGTGTGGGCAGGTGTGCTCGTCAATCC